TTTGGACACGCATTTAAGGTTATGATCATATCACGAATCGCATTGTGGCATTTCTTCTATTAACCGTGATTGTAACAATTATTTAAACATTTTGAATGGTGAAATTCACTGTAATTAATTTTCTCGATTAAAAATAGCCGGAAATGTAAGTATAGCAAAATTCATCAAAATAATTATATTAGAGCTAAAGTGTCAATATAGCTTATTGCGGGTGAGTCGTTACATGCGCATGCGTCGGATGGCCATGGCGTGCCACTTTTTACAAACAAGCGTCTACCCTTGAGCCTTTGCGTTTTCAGTGTGTGTTGTTATTGTCGCTTGGGACCCAATTTCCGCGCGTGCGCAGGTGACGACCCTCCCGCTTTAATGTGCTGTCCAAAATAGACATTATCAATGTCTCAGTACTTGTTACATTATAAGTATACAGCTCAACAGCAAATTATAAAGGTGCAATACAATGTTCAATAAAGAAAAATTGTTCTTTTTGTTAGTCCCCATTCGAATGAACTTCGAAACGGGGACTTATAATCGGTCTTTGTCTGTCCATTTTTATTCATAATTGGCACATACATCATACATATAGGAATACATGGTCATATCATTTTTTTCCACAATCAGGTCAAAGATGGCCGAGTGGCATCCATCTTGATTTTTTGAAAATGTGGTATCTTGGAAAGGATTTGTCAGTTTTCAAATTTGATACAAACATTATACATGTTGAGATGCATGTCCATGATTCATTTCGTGTTTCGTATTTCTGTACAGGAGCAAGGACAAATGAAACAAAAAGTGCATGAATAGCATATCCTGTTTAATTTCTCACCATTTATTACGACTTTGAAAGAGTCATTCAATACATCTCTCTGTTGATACTAAACCAGCCAAGTATTTACTGTTAATTATTAGCTATGCGTTTGGTGCATATTACTTTTTTTTTAGCATGAATAACATTTCCAGCAATTCCAAAAAAACAATTCCAACGGGGAATTGACATTAACATTAACAATGCTTAATTTGTTCTTAATGTTTTTGTCTTTGTGAAGAAGTAGTTGATGAAAGTTATTAGTTATTTGTAAAACCACTAATGGTGAGTTATAAAATGTATCAATAACTGTAACGAGGCTTGAGAAATTCAGTTAAAGAAGAAAAGGTTTTAATTCAGTTCTAGGTAACAGTAGCAAAAGCGACGATGAACAACTTATAGACGTACTGCGCACTGCTCTGATATGGTCTGTGCACATACAATTGCAATCGACCAGCACTTCATTGCAGAAAATTGTTACACACTCTGCCTCCAAAACATCCAGTGGTCGACATCAAAGATAGGAGAGAAGAACACACAGACGTCATCTCTCCGCACACGTTTGAAGGCATGACAAAGTCAATATTATTCCATTCATGCTACAGCGGATGAGCTGACTGACTACGGACGGTAACACTTATTTCATACAACGTATTTGAAGTTATTTAGTCCAAAAAAACATTCAACTGGCCGATTTTCTTCAAACGCTTTCTGTGTTGGTTCAAAACGATCATACATAGAAGAAAGAAAGACATCACAAAACAATGTATATACTTCAATCGTGAAATTGTGATAAATTGAAACTCGATAGTTTGTCAGGATTACAAAACAGTGTGTACCTCCCTAGACGACTATTGTTTTAGTAAAACCTTTAACTATTTTGGAGAACAGTTCGTGAGAGGATATGTAAACACAAATTGGTTAGGTATTCGGGACATTTATATTTTTGAGCTTATTTTTGCTTTACCATCTTGGTTATCTATGACACTTTCATTGGAACCTGAATACATATTACCAGAATACTAGTACATGTTTTAAACTGTGCAAAATAATTAGTGCACATGTTGCAAGGACTTCATTACACGCCTTTCACACTCATTTTATCAATCTAGGCATGTTTTAGATGTCAGGGGAGAAATAAAAACAACTGTTACAAGTAACACAAAAATCAAATTGAAGTTATATTTCGTCCAGTGGAGTGAAGTGATACTCGAAGTCTGAACAAATGTATAAGATAGTCAGAACTATATTAGCATTAAAGTTTATTTTTTATGTTTATACGTACTTCAATTTTTCAGAAACAGATAGATTTTTACAAAGCAAACACTTTCAACGTTGAAAGCAAGAGGCATTATACTGTAAATTACTGTAAAGGCGCCCATTCTAACTCTTTCTTGTGTTGCATTTTGTTTTAATTGGTGTTGTAATCACAAAAAGCGTCAGAAAACGGATACAAACAAATAAACAGCAATTTGAAATGAAATTAAATCGTATGTACGTCGAACGTCGAAAACGTAGTGTTCACCGTATATATAGTCAGCACGCATGATACACTATGTGTATGAAAAAAAATCGGCTCAGACATTTCCCGAAGACCAAATAAATTAATTAATCTAGACTAAGGCGACAACTGGTTGCCTCACATGACATAGATAGGTAACAGTAACATCACCCTCCCCACCTCTGACCACCATGACAAAAACCAACCTAGAGTTATTATGTGTCTTGCAATCATTGCCTAGTTTGGGAAACGCCACGAATAATGCTTAAAAACATAACACCAGTTAGAAGTTCATATTATTTGTTACGTATATAGTGTCCATTTAAACTGCACTGATTGCTGATTCGAATTCAAATTGTTGCTATAAAATACACCACGTGGCTGGCACCGAGATGAAAAACTTTCTCTCATGTGTAATAGTTGAATTTCAATTGTCTGTCATAACATGTCCTGAATGGGTGGTAAAGATATGGATACATACAATATTACAACAAGCACAATGATGAAAAATGCAAAATATTCTTTGATACATCACCATCTCAGGCTGACCACTTCTCTTATCCAATACTGCTACAAGTACAGATACTCGAAGACGTGGTGCAATGATTTAAAGTAAATCGGATCTCACACACAGATGAACAGCATCTACGTATATTCTGTCAATTCAGATTCCACAACTTGGATACCACGACACCATAAATACATACGTTTTAAGGGTTTCCTAAACTTCTTGTATTTGAGTGCGTAAATAACAGGATTGACACACAGATTACAGAATGCTAGTAACACAGTAAAGTGGTAGAATACGCTTTGAAAATCATATTCACTCGTAAGATTGTACTTCAGAAATAAAAACTGGTTGGGTGACCAGCATATTACGTAGGCCAATACGACTAGCAGAAGGATCTTTAAAACGTTATTCCTTGCACGGAGCATGGACGCCGATTTTTCATTGCACCCTTCGGCAGACCTGCCTCCAGTCTGTCCCACTCGACTAGTGCCACCAACATTGACAGTCGCACTGCGTTTAAGAACGACGGCGATGTGTATATATGCGAGAGATATCACCATAACAGGTACAAAATATTCTACAAGAAACGCCATTACACCAATGAACGTTTGCAGATGGGGATCGAGTTTGCTCCAGTTGGAGTAACAAATACCGTCTTTCACATAGCGAAAAACAGACACGTAGCTTTTATAAACTGATGCCAAGACCCATGCGCTCATAATCATGATGATAACCGTCGTGTTGGTGTAGATGCTAACATATCGTAACGGGTACACAATAGCTACATAACGTTCAAATGTAATCAGCACAAGATTAAACGTAGAGGCAACTAAATTGGTCCAGTAGAAATACCGAGAAACCCATAGTTTACAGTACACTGCGGGTAACAGGTAACCAGCCACCTCGACTGGGCGTGCAAGAACGTTGTCCAGGAGCAATATAATTGAGCCAAGAAGGTCGATCACAGCTTGATGCACGATAAACATGTTTGTATAAGTGTGTAATTCACGAGTTGAACTGACGATTGCACAAACCATGGTGTTCCCGATAATGCCGAAACATGTAATAGTTATTGTCAAGCAATATATTGCAACTTCGGCGTGACTTGCACCTTCACTGGTGTCGTGCGTGGTGTTCGTCTCCATCGTCAATTCAGCAATAACACATACCCTACCAGTTCGTTGGATATCAGTCGAACAGCGGCGAATATAGTTGTTTTTCAAATACTGACTAGCACTAATATATGTATGCACAAAATCGACCATTTACTTCTTGCAAGTCGATATTCACAAATTGAAATGAATGGATCGAAAAATTGTCACAACATGTTTCCAAACCCATGTCTTGTTTTATCAAGGATATTTGTAAGATAAAGTTTATTGAATAACTTTATTTTATATTCAGTGTTTCCTGATTCTTTTTGAAAATGTCGCAACATGTAACCAATGTCTGGTATTATCAATAATATCTGTAAATTAATACGCTGTGTAATCCCTTTATTTCATACTTGCTATATTGAATCAGTTTATATGACAGTTCTGTCATTGCCAGATGTCAAATCGTCAAATCGTTAAATAAACGCGTGTTCAATATAATTATTGACCCTTTGTTACCCACGTCACTGTGTCGCCACAGTAACCGATTTAAATCAATCTATGAATTTATTTGAAGTTCTTTATTCGACACCTCTCAGTGAGGTCTATCTGACAACTATCACAATGCATTCATCGGTAATCGGGTCATTATAGATTTTATACATCAGTATATTTGATTGCATAGACACTTTAAACTAGATGCTGATGGCTGGTCAATTCCCAGGACGCTTACATAGGAATGGAATAAGTGATGTGCCACTCAAATGGGCTATTTTCCCCCGAAATTTAGATATAACTTTATCGTGAAAACTATCATTTTTTTTTAAATTATATAATTAGGGTTTTGTTGACTAAATGGGAACTAAAATTACCAGAAATGACGCAATTTTAACCAAATACTGATTTTTCCCTCTGAAATTCTATAATTTTCGCCAAAAGTATGTAATTTCAGCCTTCCTTGATTTGTTAATAGTCAGGGAAATAAGTTTTGTCTACGTGTAAAATAACATATTCCTTGATAGTAGTTGTTGTAATATATACAAACAAATATGTTTTCTATGAATACGTTCTTCAGTAATTATACTGGTAATAAATGGATCTTCATTTAGTTACAGTGTCATAGCCTTCATCAATGTACATCTTATATACGTGTGCGGCTGTTCCGTTTATACCTCACATACGACCCACTCAAAATATTTCGATGATACTTAGTACATAGGTAAGCAGGAATAACAAACATGGTTTTTAGTTTGAAAAAAAAGAGAAACACTGCGGATTTTATTACAAATACTGCATGCAAATGTGTTAAAGAGATAAGATCTATTATAAACAGTATGGCCAATATTGTTATTCTCTGTGGCGCATATCTTTTAATTATTGTCTGTGCTATCATAAGGGGTAAGGGGGTAGCTGGTACAGGTTACAGAAAATACGTTTTTACAAGAAATAAAATGAAGGTTCTATTTACAGTAAAAAGTGTTTTTTTTTGTTTTTTTTTACACTTTACAGATAAACAAATTCATAATTACATTTTACAGTTTTTTTAATATGTTTGATAATTTGTGTTTAAGAGTCAAGAGTCAAACAATATCACACATTGAATAATCATCCGGTCAGCGCGTTCTGATGTGACAAATCTTCTGGGATTGTACGACGCACATGCGCGAATCAGGTCAGGAATTAATGTCGATATTAATGTGTGATATTATTTCCATTGTGATATCGTTCCCGGTGTTCTACGAAGAACAATGTTTGCCAAGGACACTTAGACACCGCATTAAATGTTGTGCTGATAATATTGCGTACATGTCATTGCAAAAGTCAGAATATTTGGGAACGTCGTGTTAACTTCGAACGTAAATGGCGCATTACTTTAGCAAATAAGAATACAAATTAAATATGTATATGATCATGACATGTGTAATATGTACACATACAGAAGATAAGGCAGGAAACTTTTGAGTTTTAGAGTGACAAATTATAAAAAAACAAGGCGAACCAATGATCATGGTATATTGTAAGGATTAGATCTTAAGCTTCCATTATTTTATTGACAAAATAACCATTTTTTATAGCAAGCTTTGCATTTGCGACTTGAATACTGACATTTTTTGGCTCGGTTGCCATCGAAGATAGCACAGCAACGGATTACTGATTAACTGTAGTTCGTTCTTCAACAATTGCATTTGCATCTTCTTCTTTTGTTTTGATGTTTAGTATACTACTACCTCAGATTGTGTGTCAAAATTGTATTTTTGTGAATATTTTGGGTCATTTATGTCAAAACTGCTATTTCTTAGCATTTATTTGTTCATGTTTAGTAAAAAACTGATACGTGGTCATTCTTGAGATGTTTGTGGAATCGTCAATAGAAGGGAACTAGAAAAGACAACTTTTTCACATTTATTCTAGTAAAACAATAGAATAGTTGAGTTACCAAAACAATGCCACACGTATTATGTATAACTTCAGGCAAAATAATGTCAATCCTTTATAATCCTTAAGAAAATCTGTTGACCTTTCACGTACACTCGCCAAGATACGCACAAACAAAGATGCTCGTGATATTGCTAGGTTATTGTATTTTGTTTATAAATGTATTATTTGCATTTACTGATAGTTTCTGCAATTGGTATCAATATTTCAGAGAATCCCGTGACTCCCAACAACAGATAATTCCAATAAGATAATTGTAATATAATGAAATATACAGCGGCGGAAGTCGGTCAGCATTCGCCACCCCGAAAATAGTTTCGACCACACATATGTTTTATACCCTATCGATTGAGTTCCTGCAGTTATATACATATATTTAGATTTAATTAATTATTTTAAATATATTTTACTAATATAATAGGGTATGTTTCTGCATTTATACGTGGTTTTAACTCATAAGCGCATTTATATGTTTACCAATAACTCGCACCTTACAAGTACGCCGTATTTACATTCATCTAATAATAACTCGTTGCAATCATGGTGTATTTATTTGTATTTAATATGAAATACAATTATACGTATGAACAATTGATACGATTACAAAATGTAATGTTCAGCAATTATACAGATATAACCAATAAAAATATAAACTTGTTAAAAATGCGTCTGGTGCGTCTGTCTTTAAAAATATTTATTTTTAAAAATCAATATTAAACATACAGATAATACACTGATTGCAAATTAAACTAGTCCTGAAAAGGCATATAATTGTCGAATATAAATACGCCTTACTTGCAATGTACGAGTTATTAGTATGAATAAAATAACTAATTTAAATATAAATATAAATATATAGAACTGCAAGGATTCAATCAACAAGATATAAAACATGTGTGTCTCTCAAAAACTTCCAAAACTGTCCGAAACTCCCTACATTCGAGATATACGTAACAATACGTATGCACCAACAGCAGTACATTTGTTTTCATTTAACAATGCACATTTTTATGACCTCACCCGGAAGATTTTGCACACGGAAGATTTTTCGCGTGACACCGAGCTTCAAAAGAGCAATTACAAATTTGTAATTTTGTACGAATTTCGATATTTAATGTGAAAATGTTTATACACTTGCAAAAAATTAGATCTTTGTACGATTTACGGGAAGAATAAAACGGATAAAATAGCTGATTACGTTTATACCTTGTCCATGTCTACGAAATTACGTTTTTTTTTTACATTATAACGAAAATAAACACAATTGATTACAGCTTACGAAAATACCCCTTGCCGACCCTCTGTAATTATAGTAAATACTTTCTGTGCAACAAGTAGCAAACTCTATGGCAACTGTAACATTGCTGCGAGTTGGTCTCTGTATAACAAGTAACTATAAGACCGCTTGATTTCACTCAGTCCCTCTTTCTACAACAAGTTTGAACTTTGATTGTATAGACTTAGTTTTGTTAAGAGTTCCTTAAATAAGAAGGATCTTTGATCTTGTTTTAGGAACAAGAGAGTATTAATTAGTGTTTATGGAACACAATAGTTATATTTCATATACTACAGTACTTCCTAGCAATATGGAATTATTATGACCATGAATAATTCACTTGCAAACATAATTTGACAAAAATTGCCAACATTTTTCAAAATCACTATCATAACTACGTATTACTATCTCTGTTATTGGAACCGTTCAAAAGAATCAGTTGTTGAAGTATTACTTCAAATTTTATCTCTTGTAATTAATTTACTGAACACAGTACGAAACAAAACACTTGTTTTTGGTTATGTCTTTCTGTCTGTGCATGAGCCATTCATCATTTCGCTAATATGCCTGATCCGATTTTGTTCAAAGTTGCCACAAAGACATGCCATATTGAGAACATATGTATTTTTTTCTCGGTTAGTTAACCTCTAATCTACTGTGTATACGTTGTGCTTGTTTCTCAGAAATATTTGGCCACCACATTGATCTTAACCACTTCTTGGACATTCTTTAACCGATTTTATTGAAGAATGTTAGCACAAAACAAATCATAAAGCATTTTAATGTCCCTTCACTAACTGGTGACTATTTTTGTTCCACATTTTCGTCCCCAGTCTTTCTCGTCTGTTTGAATCGATTTCAAACTAAGTACGAACAACACACATGTTTTGTAATTTGATTTAAAAATGCCCAACTGCTTTCTGATAAATGACACAACTTTGTACATGACAATGATGAGAAATTTGATTGAACAAAACCTTGTTAAGATGCCTTTTGAACTCGCACAGTAATTTAACATGCTGAATACATTTAATTAATCTATGTACATCTTTCACTAAAAATGGAAGGACACTATGTCAATGACAATAACGTGTTGATCATTTGTTTGTAAACGATAACAAATCAACATCCTATAGCGATGTATGAACTGCCACTTTAACAATTTTTTAGAGCCCCGCCTACCATCTTTTGCAAGTTTATAAGGGGTTTTCACCAGTATGTCACGTGTGTAAATGCACGACTGTGATTGGATGATAGGTAATTTTCATTTATGCAAATAAATACTTGATATAGGTTTTTTTGTGTTTAGAAGTAGGCCCTAAAACGTTAACCCTTCTGTCAACTGAAATCGACAAGACATTATTTCGAAACTGGTCAAAATCGCGTGATATGCTCGCTCTAGGGTGGAGTGGAGTAGTTGTCAGTTCAGCTATATGGAATTGTGACCTGCTCCCAAACATTTGGTCAATTGTAAGAAGACCATTTACTCAGATATCACTAATCCCATTTAGTTGAACTAACATAATACCATGTAGTCTTGTTGTTCACAAAGGCAAGTCAAATGTTCATGAAGTTATTAACACTGATCTATTAAACGCCAGCTTTTGAGCAAATCGAAGATGGCCACTAATTACCATGGAAATTCACATACAGGTCACACACACTCAAATTTGATTGAACTGAACAATTCTCAAAACACACAACAATCTTTCATTATTACTCTACCATACAAGTTTGAAGAAATCATAAACTAGATAATCAATGTTCACAAACTAGTACCGATCTGACAAGCTTCATTTAAATATGTTGCATGGCTGGTTACATTGGGATATCTGTGGAACATAGAGAAATTCAATCCCAAGAAAGTTACAGAAATACATGTCCAATGCAAGAAAAATATTGTAGTTAACAGAAACTGGAAATTGCTTCATGTTTATTGACATTTTATGCTGGTACCGCAAAATAGTTTAACAGCCAATGCCCTATAGGGCTTTAGTGCGCGATTCTTGCCTTGATAATTTGTTTACAAAGATTCCCAAATGAGACTTCAATGATTAACCATATATCATTATAATTAATTGAATTAGATTTACACAACATAAATTATATTTTATTTGTTGTAGAGAGATGTCAACAAAGCTACAAATAAATGAACACTTGAAAAATTCTTTTCAAATTTAAAAACACTTTTTTTCTGTCAGAATTGAAACGAAAGAAGGCCATAATTTTACCTGCACAAGTAATTTTATTTTATTTTATTTGACAATTAGCTGATCTTGCAATTAAAGGCTGTATTAAAACTGCTGTGCACAAATAAAATAGTTTGTGGTCCACACCTAACCTTTCTGGCAGTAATCGATGTACCAGTATTTCATTTCAAAGAATCTGAAGATGTTGTCAAATAATCAGTAATGTTAAAAACATGAAAAACAAATAATGTAATATGCATAGATGTATAAAAAATGAATTGGTTTATTATCAAGCAAGAACAGTTGAATCACTTATTATGCAAAATATATAATTGTGTAAGGTCAGAAAATTATATCTTGGTAAACCACACATATTGAAAATGACTAGAACTTTGTGAATGAGTGGACCAATATGCAAAGTCTAGGCAAAAATCATAATAATCCCAGATGAAAAGGCTCAACAAATGCAGGGCAGGGCAATGCAATTTATATTATTTAATGAATTTTATTATCTAGATAGTGAACATTCCATCACTATTTTGTAGCCCACCATATTGACTCCAGCAAAGGATTGTGGGTAAAATATTACATACCGGTAGTCACAGCTGTGAGAATTTGAGAAAATATATGGAAGCATTATGTCGTTTGCCCGGACCTCTTTACATCAATTCAATATGCAAATTAGGTAATAATTTTCAAATTTTCATGATACAGATGTAGAAATGTACTTTTGTTAAAGAACTATTGAGACCCCCCCCCCATTCTACATTTGATAGGTAGGAGTGTTACCATGTAAACAACATATTAGGAGGGGATTATAGCATTTCATATTATAAATACAGAAGGTGTTAAAATATTAGGTGAGGGGCACTAAGACTAAAAAATAAACTTAAGAAAAAGTGGACGAGATTGAAAGATTTGGTGGATTGTGATAATGTCAGAACTGGAAAATACAAAACAAGTTTTTCCATGACAGGTAAAAGACTAATGTACATCTTGGATAAAACATCCCAACAAGCTTACAAACATACACAAGAGATAACAATGGTAGCCTGGGTTGGACATACAAGACTAAAAAATTAGCACAAGGAAGGAAATTATACATACATACATGTAATGTCTGAAATTTAGTTGAATTGTAGCCAGTACATCAATAAACACCAAGTGTAATTCAACATCCAATCTGACAGTTGAGTCGTTAAAATAGTTAATTTAATAATATACACAACTGTTTTGATTGACTAACTAGAACTTTGCTTGGTGACAATCCTCATGCATCATTATACAAATTGGCAAACTTCTAATTCAAATGAGGAATGTGCAAATAGTTATTTCAACTAAATTTCAGACAATAAAATTTATTGTTCAGCTTGTGGTCCTTCTGATGGTTGTTGTCCCTGTCCTTTATTAACATCACTAACACACACCCACTGGCCTTCTAACGATTCCTTCCATAAACTAACCTGTAATAAAACAAAATATTTATCACTATTTGATATCACTGTATTACATTTGCACTCTGAAATAATTCATAAAGTTGTATTTGGGTCTTAGAACTATTAGGACTTGACACTAGATGAAATATGTGCTTGTTTGAATTTGTACAAATTGGAGCAGATATGTACTAAACATCAATATCAATGACTTTAGTGTGTTAAAATATTAGCGATCGTGATGACTTGCTATTTCATTGCTATTTTCATTGTTTCATTGTTTCATTGAATATTATTTTTGAATGGTGTTCCAATGTGCATAGATTCGTAAGATTGAAATTTATCCCAAATTACTGAGTCCTGGTAGATTTATAACATGAGGATATGTAAATGTATAACCATGTTTGCTGACATGTGCATGAGTTCTCACAAGAAGCACACTCTAGCATTTTGTGAGGGTTTGACAGCGATCCAATTCCATGCACATCAAAATAGTTCTCACCATCATCAGGAAATGCAGTGTGATCATCATCATATTCGAAAATACAAAATGCATATAATCTCTACCTGACACTAAGTATATTAAGTAAAGTTTGACTACTCACTTTGTTATCTCCACCTGACACTGCAAGTATATTACCAGTAATTGACCAGCTAACATGCCATACAACATCATTAAATTTATGAAGAATCTACAAAGAAATAAAAACACAGCAACGATTTAATTAGCATGCAACAAATGTAAATGCATGCTGAAAGAAAAATTACCCACACACAATCATTGATAAGCTTATTGACCAAATCTTCGGTTGCTATACAATACTATAAGGGTATACTGAGAATACCACGTATATGACAGGTTGTAAGAATATATCGGCCAATACATAGCGAATTCTATTGTTTTTGTTTTCAATGTACACACATATATATATATATATATATATATATATATATATATATATATATATATATATATATATATATATATATATATAGTATTCCAGATAGACTCAGTTTCCTATGCTTCTCTAACCAGAGCAATTTTTGGTTTCCCAATTGATTTTAATTACCTTTGGCGTCCACATACTACCAGTACTATCGTCACTAGTCCATATAATGACTCTACCATCCTGTGAACAGCTAGCTATTGTGCTGTGTGGTAAGCCTATAGAGGGCGCCCATGCTACATCGCGTACCCAATCACTATGGGCTTCTAACTTCTGCTCTTCTTTCCACTGTCCTTCCTCCTCCCTAGATTGTAACATGCCAGACATTACTGTAAAAATCTTGTGGACTATATTTTTGCAGCAATGTTGAGCAAAATAAAATTCTATGCAAACATCAGGTACTGCACCACACAGTACAATAATGATGTGATTTTAAACCAAAGATATAAACATATTCATTTAAGAGATTTCCCTTAAAAATTCAGAAAATTGGTTTGCAAGCAACTGCGTTTATATACAATATTGTAAATATGTTAGTTTTCACTGGTATTTGATTCTAGTATTTGTTTTGAATTCAAGATTTTTCCCAAGTTCCAATGTAATTTTCATATTCATATGAATTTAATTTAGCACATTTCAAAACTAAAACTCTGAGGATAATTAATGTGTTTATGGTATGCACATTGTAGAGCAGCTCAAAAACACCTTTGGAGTAAAACTTGGCAAACATTTAGAGATGCAATTCTAAAATATTAATAAACACCGACAGTAAAGTCAACTGCTACCCATGGTATATAAGGGGACTTACTTCCATATTTTGACTAAGTTATCACATCCACCTGATACAAATCTTTTCACTGTTATTGGTTTCTGTGCCGATGGCTGTTCTATGAGGGAGCCAGGTACTACCGCTGGTGCCCAACTCACAGCATTGCAGCCAATCTAATAATAACACATAAGAAAAATAAATTATCAATATTAGCTAGAGACTAAGAGTACTCATGATGAAAAAAAATAGGTTAGGTATTATCATAGACCTTAGAAAGAGATAAGGTCTATGATTATACCCAACCTAATTTTTTTCAACATGATATGGTATAATAGTGTAGTTGAATAGTGTAAACCATTTAATTTTAACAATTTGAAATTTTGTGAAAGTCACCAACACTCTGCCCTTTATGGTTACCATACCCAATACATTACACTGATCCATATCGGGAAAATGACTTCTGATAGATAAACACAGGAACTAAAATATTCTTAGAAAATTTGAATGAAGCAATGTACACTCATTTCTACCAACATTTGATGCGATTAATGTGGTCAATGCTATAAAATACTTGAGTTACTTACTGTATGCGCATTGTTTACTTTCTTGGTTTCCCATGTTCCATCACCAGCACTTGATAATACAGATATAGCTCCATCAGATGAACCACACACTAACATTAAACCAAACTCATGTGGTGCCCAACAGACTGAGTTTACTGTAAAACAAAAAACAGATTTTATCACTCGTATGATTTTCCCTCTATTTCATTTAAAACCCAAAATCATTAACCAAATGACTACATATGAGAACTGTGAATAATGGTTTGAATTAGAAAATGTAAACCACAACAATATTCGCTAAAAATAAAGAAATAGAGAAACTGTCACGAAATGAACAAATCTAATAGAGGCCCACCCAACATAGCAGAAAGGATAATTGAGTCTAAACTTTTAGTCTTTTAGAGGTAATTTGCAGGAGAGAAATCACCACACTTTTCATTTTTGAACCAGTTTGTTGCATACAGTTGCATTTAGTCCCCGTTTCAGTCATACGTATTGTAAATACATCAAAAGAACCCTGAAGATGTAAAAGCACAGCTACCAAGACACAAAACCACAGTCATTATTAAGACTGATAGATAGCTTACCTGATGAATCATGGTTATTACATTCATGAAGGGCATCCCACGTTCCATTCGTTTCTTTCCATATTATAACTTTTCTATCATAGGAACATGATGCCAATAAATTACCAAACATAGGGTGTGCCCAAGCTACTTGCCACACTGGACCCTCATGTCTGCAAAATGAAAACAGAAACCACAAGAATCAATATTAAAAGTTCTTGAATCAACATGGCACATCCTGCCTTCAGAAAAAATTGCATTTTTTGACACTTTTTAAAACCCAGATTTTGATATAATTGAGGAAAATAAAAAGTACCCCATCATTTTTTTTCAGCCTATGTCACCAGCCTACAATTTTAGATATGGCATAATATTTTTGCCTTAGGAATCTATGGTAAAAGCATTATAATACTGCCAAAATGGACACTATCCACAAAAATACAATGATCAATTTTTCAAAAATGAGGCTGCTGACCCCCAATATTGTCAATAAGTACAATTTATGGCAAAATGAATAGATTCTGGGTATTTGAATTAATGAGTAACTTAAGTCACTGAAATCTTCACAAACTCAAAATTCTTCAAAATTAAAAATGATTTATAGTAAATCATACAAGTATTTTTTACTCATTTTCGACTACCCAGAAAAAAGTTTTTACTGCCCATTTTTTTTCTGGTTATCAAACTATCGGTATTTCAAACGATCAAATTTGTTTCTTCTTTAAATGATACTGTAGTGTTCA